CAGCCAGCACGCTGGCTGGGGAATGCTGGGAGTTGAAGTCCACCTATCCTAAAGTGGCCAAGTCCGCAAAACACTGCTGTAGGGCAAACGTTAACCAACCGTTGGGTTTCCCAAGAGCAGATCACCTCTGCCAATGCCCTCTTTCAACACCCATCATCCCCTCCCCTTCTTAGGCCCACATCTGGAGGGCACCCAAAGCGGGGGAAGCGCAGAGAGAAAGGGATACTCACAGTTAAGAGACTGATGACCCAGCAGAAGTCTGGGCGCCTCTTCATCGCGTCAAGCGCCCAATTTCAGGGCAACGGGGAGACGGAGAAAGCTGCCTGCGAGGAGGAAGAGAGAGATCCCGTTACCCGCGGGTGGCCACGCTCAGCCATCTTATACAGCTTCCAGTCAGCCTGTGGTCTCTGCTCCATCCCGGTCTGTGTTTACCTCCATCCAACATGCTTGGCGGGGGGTGGGGGGAGCCGGGCTGTTTACCTCTGCAAATCACAGCCGAGAGGAAGTTTTCTGGGTATGATTAAGTTGAAGAAAAGGAAATAAGGGTGTATGGACTTCCTCCGGCAGCGGGAATCATCCATTTCCCGTGGGCTTTATTTAAACAGACTGCTTTTGAACTCAGCAAATGCCACATGTCCCAGCACGCTGGCTTCCTTCCTCCCAGCTCCAAACGGCCGCCCACCCGGTGATGCTAAATGCACCAGCCTGAGCAGGATCTCGGGGCCAACGGAGAGTCAGGAAAGGCAAACCCCGTGCTAGGAACTGGAGGCAAAAGCGCCAGTGCCCTTCTGCACCTCGTTAGCTCAGGATCTGGAATACTCTCTGCGGTTCTGGTCACTGGGCCCGAAAGGGATGGAACAGGACGGGGGAAAGGGCACCAAGGGGTAATCAAAAGGAGCAGGGGGCTTACACACTTCCTCTGCAAGAAAAGGCGAGCCGTTGGAGACTCTGGTAAGGAGAAAAGGTGACTGCTGTGAACAAGATCGCTCACGGCATTGAGCAAATGACCTTCTCAAAGGCTTTGGCCCAGGGGCCATCCAATGGAGCTGCTGGCAGGATATTGAGAGCAGATCGAATAACGTATTTTTTTCCCATGGCTGATAATTAAGCCGTGGAATCCAGTCCTGCAAGAGGTGCTGATGTTCATTACCTGAGACGGGTGTCCAAAGGGAATGGGGTACATTTATGGAAGACAGGAGTGGGAGAGGAACATGACTCCATCTCCTGCTTGTGAGACCCCAGAGGGGTCTCTGCCCATGGGGAGGAACAACCTGTTGGATTAAGATGGGTTCGGCCTGACGCAGCACAGTGATGCTGATGTTTTTCTAATCTAGGGCAGTATTTCTCAACCTTGGCAACTTTAAGATGTGTGGACTTCAACTCCCAGAATTCCCCAGCCAACATTGTGGACTTGGGTTCCCACAATTCTCCATCCAGCATTGTGGACTGCAGCTCCCACAATTCCCCAGCCAGCATTGTGGGCTTCAACTCCCAGAACTCCCCAGCCAGCACTGTGCATTTCAATTGCCAGAATTCCCCAGCCTAGCATGCTGGCTAGGGAATTCTGGGAGCTGAAGTCCACATATCTGTTTTTACTGTAAACCACCCAGAATCGCTCTGTAGTGAAGTGCGCAGTAACAAATTTGAAATATAAACCGATAAAATAAAAATATCCTAAAGTCGACAAGGCTGAGAAACTCTGATCTAGGGGAAACCCACCTGTTTCTGGCCACAGCCCCACCAGATCTGAAGGGACTGTTCCCTTCCTGCCGGCTTTTGGGAGCCAGAGGTTAAGCTACCATGGTTTTCTATATGGAGGTTCCACGTTAAACAATCACGGCAAATAGCCACGACAAGACACGGTCACAACGATTTTGGAGAGAACGCCAACAGCCAAAAGAAGCCACAACTGGGAACAAGGTTTCAGGCTGCCGGCCGGGGCTCGACAGGTTTCTTGCAGACCAACCCAAAATCATTAAGAGCATCTTGCAAATACATCCTGCAGTCCGTGTCCCAAAGGCCCAGGCTGGGCGCCCACAAGACACTTAAGCAGGTCGGTTCCAAGCCTCGCCTGCTATGCTCCGTTAACTTTGGTTAGTTCTTCTGGGGCTCTGTGAGTTTTCTGAACTCGGGTCATTGGGTTTGTTCAGGGTCCAGGGTATTACACAAAGCCCGCAAACGGGCAAATTCAGCCATGAGTTAAATGGCTTGTCTGGACACAACCTAACAGTCAGGCGGACTGTTTCCTCCACCCCAGGCGCAGAAAATTCTCATTTTAGGAATGAGTAAATTCCTGCTGGAGGGTTCTTCTTCCCGAAAGAAAGCCAAAC